GGGAGGCGGCGCGTGCCGAGGAGCGCTGGTGCCCATGCTGGGATGCCCTCCCTGGCAGGTAGCGGCTGCTGGAGTTTAGCTGCTGTTAAAACAGCTCCGAGATGGCCTGGACAATTTTTAACCTTTTAAAAAATAAACATCAAATTCCCCCCCCCCTTGCAAAAAAACCATCGGAAACATTCAGTCGGCAGCAGGTGGAGGAGGAGCAGGGGGTACAGCTGGGTGTGTTAGCTGGACCCTGGCTGCGCTGAGCCCCCCGCTTCCTCAAGACAGATCCACCTCCTCTTGCCCCAATATTTTTAGCTTGTGTGAGGGGGTGTGAGGGGCTGGAAGGGAGCAATGAGCCTTTCCTGTGGCACAGTGAGGCATCAGGCTGCTGGGGATGCAAAGGCATTGCAATTCCTAGGAACCATCGGTGCCGTGCTGTAAAGCACTGAAGTCTTTTCTAATTTGGTATGTACAGTCCGGTTGTAATCAAGAAGTGATTTATGGTGAGGAGATTAAAAACGTCTATGTGGGTGCAGGATGGTGGAGTGGAGGGGCTGCGGGGCACCCAGCCGTTGCTCCTCTGTTGGGATGCCTTGTCGGGATGTGCCTCGATGCCATTTCACTTCTGCAGGGGAGCTGTTGGAGATCATCCTGGGAGAAGTGTCCCTGCGATGGGGTCACCCTCGCCCTGAGTCCCTGTCCCCCAGCATCAGGGCAAATACATCCTCTGCAATCCCTGCCCTGAGCTGCTCTGGAAGGATGAACAGGGCAGGTGATGGGGGGAGTGGGGGGAGCTGAGATGGAGCTCAAGCATGGAATTACTGCATTAAAATGCATCGAGGTCCTATGGGGGCGTTTGCTCCCTCTGTGGTGTGTTAACAGGGCTGTGAGGGATTAGGATCTGCACGGAGCTGGCACGTCCTGCTCTCTGCAAGGAGCAAGGGACAAGCCCAGCGGCGGAGGCTGAGATGTAGAGACGCTTGAGGGGGGATGGCCAGGAATTTAGTTTCATTTCCATCTCATTTTCTGGTGCCACTGAAACAAATGGGTCAGTCTACCAAGTGATGTGGTTTCCACAGTGCTGCTGGGGCTTTGACTTGTCTGAGGCAAACCAGTGTGCTCGCCTGGGTTGTAGCAGTGCCTGTCTCCATCTCCACCCCTGTCCTGCGTGTTTGGGAGACCCCAGCTTCCGCAGCTCTGACACTGACTACTTCTGCGGCCACCGGTGCGTCCTGGGATGCTACTCTGGGATGCTACTCTGGGATGCTGCCCCGGTGCACAGAGACCCTTTGGCACAAGCCTCACAACTCTCAGTGATGAGGGGTAACTGCTGGAGACATGTTTGTCACCTCTGATGATGTGTCCGTGTCCTAGGCAGCTGCCAAAGGCTGCAGAGCTGCTGCAGACCCCGAGTCCCTGGTCCTGCCCAGCCTTCTTCCTCTCCTCCCTGCCTTCCAGCACTGGTGAGACAATAAGTACTGAGCAAAGGAAGTTAATCTGTGACCAGAGTGTTTTAATCAGGAAAAAAAAAAAGGTATTAGTGCAGGCCTGCTGGCTCCTGCCAAACTCCAGTTTTACTGTCCCTCCTGATACTGGGTTTATGGCTGTCATTTCATTCCAG